GGGCGGGGTGGAGGGGTGTGGAGGGGTGGGAGGTGGAGGGGGTGGAGCTTGCAAGGGAGGAGAGGTTGCCCAGCAGGCCCCCATTCCTCTCCCTCCAGGCCCTTGCCATCAGTGACCATTTTCCTGTGGAGGTGACCCTGAAGTCCCACTGAAAACCTTCCAGGCCTGGTCAGGGCACGCCGCCTTCAGACTCGACCTGAGGAGGACTCTGGCCCCCACAGATCTCCTTCCGGATGGCTGGCCAAGCCCCAGCAAGCTGTGGGGCAGGGCCGGCTGGACAAGAGGCTGTGGACACATCACAGGCCCACTCAGCCTGTCTCCCCATCTGTAAAATGGGCTACGACATCTATCTCCTCCTTGTGAGGAGCACCTACAGGGCGCCGGGCGCGTGGCTGTGCTCAATAAATGGGAGTGAGCGCTTAGCCAGGACCACACACTGGTCGGCTTCAAGGCCTCCGTGTCCTTTCTTAGGACTCCACCCCTGTGAGGCCCAGACTTTGGTGCTGCAGCCCAGTGGGTCCCAGGTCCCGGCCCCCTAGGGGAAAAGGGATGGCCCGGCCCACCGGTGTCACACCCTGCTGGGAACTGACGCCCTCCAGACCAGGCTCTAGAATGCAGCTCCCGAGTGTGCTTGCTTTCCCTCCGTGCCAACCTTAAATGCGTCCGAGGACTCGTGCTGAGCGCAGCTGGGGACACACACACACACACACACACACACACACACACACGCGGGCAGTGCTGACAGGGCCAACCTCACAGTCCCTGCCGCCCTCTCTCCCCCTCAGGGGCGAGCAGGCTGGACGCCTCGCCCAGGCGGGGCGGGTTCCTTCTCAGGAGCCCTGGGCTGGACAAGGACTTGGGGAGAACCGTGGCCTGTGTCCCGGGGAAGCCCATCACCTGAGGATCGGGAACGAGCACGAATGGGGGACAGGGTGTGACTGACAGGCCCAGGGAGGTTGCTGGTTTGGGAAACATCTCACGTTTGGCAACTTTGGGAACTGGCCTGAACTGTGTGGAGGACATACGTTTGCTTCAAGAGCCCGCGTGACTTTTTCTCAGGTCACCTTCCTCAAGTAAGGCCAGGGCTCTTGTGGCACAGACGGGCTCACCCCTCCCTGCTTCCCAGGCACCCGGTCTCTGAACCTTTGTGCCCCCTCCATGTAAACAGGCAGATGGGGTGGCCAGAGTGCTTTCCTCTGGGGGTCCCGTGCGGCTCACCGGCCCACACCGGGCTGGTCACGTGCCCCTAGCAGTCAGGCGGCCGGGCAGCCAGTTACGGGACAACGTGAGGACTTTATTCACACTTCTGCTCGGGGAAAGGGGACGTTCAGCAGCGATGTCTCTGAATCCTGCACTGCCCCTCCTGCCAGTTCACGATTCCCCAACAGAGATGCCGCCCCCCCGATCCCGCCGTGCCCACTTGCCAGGCGGAAAAGGCGCTTTTGGGGGGCAGTGGCCTTGGGATACTAGCTACCAGGAACAGACCAGCGAGACCAAGAGCTGAAAGTACCTTGAAATCGGAAAATACCTTGCTTAGAACCCATTGGAAGAAGAGGGCCCCCAGAAGGCCACATGTGGTGCAAACCCCGCGTGCGCGGCCCGGACCCTAGCCTTTCTTCTGTCTGAGCTTGTCTAAGTACACGCGCAGGGACTTTTGGATGGAGTCCCTGGAGATGAACCGGAGGAAGTACTGGATGTCCGCGTCGCGCTGTTTGACCAGGCGGTCGGCTGTGGGCTTGCGCATCAGATTCTTGGTCAGCTGTCGAGCGTGGTCTACAGAAAGGGGTCCGTGTGTGAGAACCCACCCCAAGACGGTCGTATCGTGCCCAACCTTTCCGAGAGACTTCCAACAGAAGTCTTCCAACAGAAGCTCTGCCAGGACACTGAGAAAATATAACTAAGCAAAGAAAAAAATGAAAATCACCTGTTCCCCACTGCCTACCCATCTCCTTGAAAAACATCCAGGGTGCCTTGCCTTTTATCCTGTTATTCTCACTCAACTATACCATGGGGGATAGTTTCCCTCCACTACAGGTTCTTTTACGACGTAAGTAACAGCGGCACAGCATGTAGCCGTGTATCTGTGTCAGGGGTCAGCAAACCTGGCCCCCGTGGCCCGTGAGCTAAGAATCGTTTCTCTTTTTTTTTTTTTTTTTTTTAAAGTAGGCTTCGCACCCATGGCAGAGCCCAACGTGGGGCTTGAAAGCACGACCCCGAGCTCGAGACCCTGAGGTGATATCAAGAGTCGGACGCTTAACCTACTGAGCCACCAAGGTGCCCCGGTTTTTACATTTTTATATAATTGGAAAAAAACTGAAAAAAAGACATTTTTGGAACACGTGAAGATTCTATGAAATTTAGGTATCAGGGGCGCCCGTTCTACTGAACACAGACGGGCTCTGGCGGCCTCCGTGCTCCAACGCCACAGTGTGGAGGACACTGACCCACCAGGCTGAAGATCCACCTGGCCCTTTAGACGCGGTCCGCTGACCTCCGGGCTCCGTCACAGCTGACGTCACCAGCCCTATTTCTATAAACGGACACGCAGGCTGTTGCTACTTGTGCAGTGGGTTGAACAGTGGACCCCCCAAAAGATCCATACAAGTCCACAGCGCAGCTCTAGAATCTGCGCCTGTGGCCTTATTTGGAAAGGGGTTTCTGTGGAGGTAGATGAAATGAGGTCATCGTGGGTTTAGGGTGGGCCCTAAATGCCACAAACGTCCTAACAGGAGAAAGGAGGGGGGGTGTGCAACTGGAGGCCACGTGAAGGGGAAAGGGGAAAGCGGAAAGCGGAGCTGGGCGCGACGCATCTACAAGCCAAGGAATGTCTGGAGCCCCCAGTGGCAGGAAGGAGCCTCCCCTAGGGCCTCTGGAGAGAGCACCGCCCTGCCCCAACACTGATTTTGGCCTCCTGGTCTGCTGACTTCCAGAACACATTTTGTTGTTTTAAGCACCTCCCCCCACCTCGGGGTAATCTGTTATAGTGACCTCAGGACACTAAGTCCGCTCTTATAAATGGCACGTCCACGACTTGCACGGAGCACCTTGGCGTGAAGGCTCTGGTCTCACCAGAGCATCCGGCCGTGGCGGGGGGAGGCTCGCCCGTCGGTGCGCACACCTGCAGCCCCTCCCTGTGCCCCTCACCTGGAACGGCCAGCCACTGGGCCATCACCGACAGTGCCGTGCTGTGCACTTGGTCCTCGGGCACCACCTGGTCTACCATGCCCACCCGCAGGGCCTCCGCGGGCGGGAAGAGCAGCCCCAGCTGCAGGGCGCGCTCCGCCGTGCGGTGGCCGACGGTGTTCACCAGGGTGTCTTTGAACCTGGAACATAATTCGCTTGCTGGAGGCTCCCAGGCAGACGGGCTCGCCCAGGGCAGAGCGGGGTGCGGGCCCAGCCCCCGGCCTTACCAGGAGGGGGCGACGATGCCCAGCAGAGTCTCGTTCAGACCCATGTTGTACTTGGGGTTGTCCGCCAGGACGCGGTAGTCACAGGTGAGGCTCATCAGGCAGCCTCCCGCGGGGCTGACTCCCTGCGGGGGAAGACGCGCCGTCTGGCTCTGGTGCTGCGGGGGCGCGTCCCGACTGCGCTCCGGAGAGCCAGGTCCCACGGTGGGTGTGCGCCCCCGGGGTGCTGCACCCACACCGGCTGGGCTGGCCCTGCACCACGGGGACTCGGGCTTGCCCATCAGCCCCGTCACCTCGTAGGGCCACCAGCTCTCGGGGACCAGAAAATCTCCCTCCTGTCTGGGTGGCAAGCCGTCTTTCTTTTCACGGCTTCGGTCCGGATGCTGAAACGCCAAACTAGCATCCGGCCGGAGCGGTCACAACCCGTCACGGCCCACGGGACCCATCGCCATCCCCAGCGGGATGTCCTGGGAACCCCAAACTCACACCGCCCTCGTCTCACGCACTGCACTGCCTTGAACAGAGACGGCAAGCTGCCGTCGGCTGTCACGCGCCTCGTGGGTCGTCCTGACTCTCGCCACCCTCCCGTCCCCTGGCTCAGACCCTTCTGGCACCTCACCTGGGGTGTCCCCTGTCTTCAGGCACACCGGTTCCTGAGCGTGAACAGCCGCTACCTTCTCGAGGGCAGACCGGAACGATGTTTCCAGATGTGAATCTGATCGCCTCCTCAAGCCCCTCTCCCTATACAGCCCTCTTGCTGGGCCGCGTCGACCACGTGCCCTGGTCCCTGCCCCCGCCCCACAAAGTACCCCGTCACCAGGTCACACCTGTCTGCAGTGGAGGCTCCCCTGTGCACATCCGAGGGTCTCCCCCAACTGTTCCCTTCCCAGCCTTCCCAAGGACAGGACCTCTTCATGCCCCCGCCACGCGCTGGGCTGGCTCTGGTGAGCCAGCGAGGCCACTCAGGAGCGGGGACACTCACGTTGATGGCAGCAATCAGCACCAGGTTGGACAGGTAGAGCCGCAGCCACAGCTCCTGCACGGCCCTCCAGTACTCGGCATAGTGCGCTTGGCTCTTCCCGCACATCTCCGTCAGGTCCAGGCCAGCCGAGAAGATCCCGGGGCAGTCCTAACGGAGTGAAGGAGCCAGGGGCCCCGTCACCGTCCATCTCCTGGCAGCAACCCGTCCCCGGGGCCCGGGAGCCCACAGGCGCTCAAGACGCAGTGGGGGCGAGGTCATGTTCAAGGTGGCAGGATCAGGCCCCGAGGAGCCGAAGCTGGGACCTCCCTCGGACTTGGCTCCTCCTACTTTCCAGTTTCAAATGGGAAAAGGCGAAACAGGCAGGCAGGGTCGGGTGCTCCCCCAGGAACATAAACAGCGGGCTCTGGGCACGGCTGCGTGTGCTGTCCCGGGCAGGGGAACTCGGAGGCCCGGAGGGGGCACACGTTCTCATTTACCCTCGAGGTCAAGAACGCTGCAGACGCCAGCACAGGCCAGGAGGTGCTGCCGTCAGAAGCAAGCCAGGACGGGAAGGGACAGCAATGAGCTGAGGAGCCAGAACTCTGCCCTGGGCGGTCACGCACGAGACAGAAGCCTGGCCTAGAAGGCCGTGGGTCCCGTGTGGACGCCCCAGGTCCCGCCACAGCCGCCACAGAGCGGGGGAAGCAGACACAGGGGACCGCCAGCACGGCACTGCTTTCCAGCAAACACTGCCGGCCCAGAGGCGGGAAGGGGTTGCTCCGTGGCCACCACGCGGGGCCGTCGCGTGGTCACAACGTTTCTAAGTGAACGAGATGTTCCCGTGGTTGGAGCGTGTCCGGGGCTGAAGTGACCTGTTACCGACACGTGAAGTACGGGACGGTCACAGGCGACGTCTCCGCGTCCTCACATTAAGCAACAGGACCAAGCTCGTGTGCAGGGCGCACAGTGCAATTCCACGTGGACCTGTGCACGCAGACGCTTGGAGGCCGACCTGTCGTCTCCTTAGGCCGCGTGCCAGCGCGACCTGGCTGTCACAGGCGCCCCGGGGACAGGGTGGCGGTGGGGGCAGGGCTACCCCTGCTCTGAGCGCGTGCCTCCTTCCCTAACCAATGCCGAACGCGGGCACCCCTCCCCAGCCTCCAAATACCCCACGCAGATCATCTGCACGTGGCAGGGAAGAGGGCGCCCACGGTCCGGACGCTCGAGGAAAGCTTGTGGCTGCGGGAGAGACACCGCGGTCATGCTGGACGGGGGCTCGCCCCGCCAGACGGACCGGATGGGCTGTGATCTGGGACTCGGCAGCACGTCTGCAGTGGGCCGAACCGTGTCTGCCTTTACCCCCAGTGCCCACGAGTGTGACTGTCTTCAAAACAGGGTCTTTGCAGATGTGACCAACGTGAGACCACGTGAGAGCAGGGGTCCTTCTAAGGGGAGGGAAACGTGGACACAGAGACCCGGGGTGGAGGAGGCGGGGTACAGGGGTGCCAGGACCCGGCAGCAGCTGCAAGAAGTGGAGAGGGACGCTCCAGGAGAGCGGAGAAAAACGCGCTGCCGTTGTCGCGAGCCCTCGTCTGCGGCCTCTATCGTGTGTCCCCACAAGAGCAGCGTCACGTCGCACCGTCATCTGCTGAGGGCCCACTGGGCAGGCCTTGTGCTGCAGACACAGTAGGCACCCAGCCGAAGACACACGAAGACACATTTGTAAGATGACACAGTCCCGGGGACAATGTGGGCTTTGGAGGGACACACGCCGGCTCCCCATCCCCCGGGGGCCGTGCCGCTTTGAGACCGGGGGGGGGGGGGCGCACAGAGCCCCGCTTTGTTGCCGAGGGACAGAAGTCATGGGTCTTCCCAGCTCTCGTTTGCTGGCGTGATCAATCACGCTGTGAAACTTCTTGAAGGGAATATTTTCAGAAATTTTCCCGAGCAAAACGCTCCCAGGGAACTGCAACACGTCCAGACAGGTCAGCCTCAACTGTCACAGTGACCCGTGCCCACGAGCGCCAGCCCTGCCCCTGGAGCGCCACCCTCTTCCCCGGGGGGCCGCTCCACGGGACTCCCCTGGTGTGTGCATCAGACCCGCCCCGAGAGCTCAGAGCTGGGACAACACCAGGTCACGCCCAGGACCGGCTGAGGGTTTAAGGAAAGCAGGCGCGTGCCCAGGGGACGTGCCAAGCCTTGCCCGGAAGAGACCGCGACCCTCTGCCTTTAACAATGGTGCGACAGGACGTCCTCACTGGTCTCTGTAGAACGGTGGCCCTTCTACTGGGAGACACTCATGCGGAGGCTCCCCGCAACTCAAAAGGCGACTCCAGGACTCTTCCTGACACGACGAAGGGCTTGTTACGTCAGGCCGCGCTCCCATCTACTTCCTCTCCTGGCAAAGTAGGTGGGGCTGCCGGAGCCGGCGTGGCCCCCGATCCTGTCGGTCTATGGGGTCTACCCGGCCCAAGCCGAGGACCGCCCCCTCCCCGGCCTCACCGGTGACACCCCTCCCACAGATGTCATTAAACAGCAGCATCTGTCGGCTCTTGGACGCAACACCAAGGTTCCCTAGAGAACTCAGAAGGGAAAATCTGCCCTCTGAGAACTCGACTCTAAGGCCCAGGCGAAGAAGAACGAGGGAGCGTGGCCACCAGGGAACACGCCTAGCGGCTCCACCGCCAACAGGATATCCTGGTGGACTACCCGTCACCAATCAGCGCGGGCTCCAGGCCACCCCTGCAGACAATTCACTGCCCTCCCCTGAGTTCTGGCCCGACTGCAGGGCACTGAGGCTCTCCCCACAGTCCAGCCTGGGGCAGAGGGCGCGGTGCTCTGGGGGGAGCCATCTGCCCACGGCATGCCAGGACCACTGGGGGCCCCCCTGGACCAGGTCTACCTGGTCATTCTACAGCACGTGACGTGTGGACGTGACCTCGCAGCAGGTTCCTGCCGTGATCGGAACTCGGGGAACCAACGAGCACCCACCGAAGTCACGATGACGCCGCGGAAGGTCTTATCGTTTTCCAGTTTCTCCAGGCTGATGACAAACTCCGTCAGCACCTCCAGGCTGAGGCTGTTCACCGGGGGGTTCTTCAACTTTATTACGGCGACCCCTAGTTTGAAAATGAAGAGGAGAAAGCTCACACCCAGGACTGGAAAAGCACACCCAACCATCCCGCACCCTCAACCTGGCCATGGGAAGCGACAGTTTTCATTTTTAACTTTTGGTTATTAAAATTGGTGAAGTTTATTTATTTGAGAGAGCGAGCCAGCTTGTATGTGCGTGTGGGGGAAGGGCAGAGAGGGAAAGAGAGAATCCTAAGCAGGCTCTGCACCGTCAGCACGAAGCCCCATGTGGGGCTTGGACTCCCATCTCGAGGTCATGACCTGAGCCGAAGTCAGGACGCTCAAGCGACGGAGCCATCCAGGCGCCCCGGTTTTGGTTTTTCAAATGCAAGTGAGATTCACCTAACGTAAATTAACTATTTAAAAGTGGACAGTCCACGGGGCTCCTGGGTGGCTCCATCGGTCGAGCGTCCGACTTCGGCTCAGGTCATGACCTCACGGTTCGTGAGTTCGAGCCCCGCGTTGGGCTCTGTGCTGACAGCTCAGAGCCTGGAGCCTGCTTCCGATTCTGTGTCTCCCTCTCACTCTGCCCCTCCCCTGCTTCTGCTCTGTCTCTCAAAAATAAACATTAAAATAAATAAATAAATAAATGAAAGTGGGCAGTCCAGGTCTATAGGGACATGCACAGTGTCCCAATGCTACCACGATCTAATTGCCGGGCATTTCTATCCCACACAGGACCCTGCGCCCACGAGCAGTTCCTGCTCCTCCCCGGCCCCTGGCCACTGAGTGTCTACTTTCTGCCTCTACGGACCCATCTACTCTGGACGTTTCGCGTGCGTGGAAGCACACAACCTTTTACGTGTGGCTCCTTTCACTGAGCACCGCGTTCTCCAGGCCGGCCTGTGCCGCTGGGTCAACGTCCCCCCCCTTTCTGAGGCCCAGTGTCTCCCTGCACACGTGTGGACCGCACTGTATCTGTTCGTGTGCTGGTGGACACTGGGTCCCTTCCACCTTGAGAGTCTTGTGACTACTGTGGCTGTGAACGTTCATGAGCAAATATCTGTCTGTTTATCTTGTTCCTCCAGATGCCAGTCCTCTGTCCCCGGGGGAGTAGGAGATGGCCTTACTTTCCTGAGGAGTGAGTGAGCAGACTCTAAGACCGGATATGAAGGAGGAACTGCACTGGGGGTTCTGGTTCTTGCTAAACATGTTGTCGGGCTGACGTTCTTAAATTCTCCACGATCCGCTTGTGCGTCCTGCCAGCAGCGGGGGAGGCCGGGGGGGGGGGGCAGACCAGCACTTGGGACAGGGCAACCACCAGCCTGGGCCAGCTGAGGCCATCTGTTCTGGCTACCTGGCCCAAGGACAGACCCCAAGGGCTTTCGAAGGGCCACCGTTCATTTAGGCTACATTTCCCTGGTCAGGACCTTAGAAATCTTCAGATGGTCAACATAAACAGTCCTCTAGGAGTGAGAACCAAGTCCTGAAGACAAACGGGCTGTTTTGAGACCTCCGGCTTCTGAGGGAGAGGTTACTTACTAACCAGCTACAGGAACGTACAGGGACGTGTAAGAAGTGATCAAAATTCCCAGAAGCAAGCTCCCCGAACTTGGTTCAGAGGGAAGTTTTTGAGGCTGACTGGATTTTTACAGAGCCCGGTCCAGCAGAATCAAGGACACTCAGGGGAGAGGGTTAAGGTTTCCATGAGTTGACACAGAGGACTTGGGGCGAATCCAGGTCGCGGGGAAGGTGGGCTGAGGCCGCAGCCCCCCAACCACAGCAGCCCCCCAGCTCCTCTCGTAGGCCTGAGCACAGCGTGTCCCCAAAACCTGGAAGTAGGCCCAGCCCTGGCTGCAAGCCTTCTCAGGACCCAGGTTGGGAACATTCTCAGGTAGAGAAAACTCAAGGGTGCTTTTTCTACCTTTTCTGTCCCTTTTGGAGAGTTTTCCCAGAGGCTCTGATGGGGGTGGGAGGTGGCTCCTGGCTTTAATTAGTAAACCATCTGCTAAGTCCTGTGCCATGCCAGAATAAAAAAAAAAAAA